AGTAACCACGTCTTTCTAGAGTACTAACCTTTGCTTGAAACGTGTCAAAATTTTAAGTCGATCGGACTAGAAACAGCTGAGTTATCGAGGTTAGAGTAAAGTCGTTTTGTAGTTTGTTTAAAAAATGGAAAAAACCGAGTTTCGTGTTCTGATAAAACATTGTTTTTTAATGGGTAAAAACACCGTGCAAGCAAAACAATGGATTGAAAAATGTTACCCGGACTCTTGTCCATCAAAAGCAACGATTTGTCGGTGGTTTGCCGAGTTTAAACGTGGTCGTACCGACACAAATGACGCGGAACGCTCGGGTAGACCTGTGGAAGCTGTGACACCGGAAAATGTGAGTGAAGTGAGAAAAATTGTAATGAAAGATCGTAAAGTGAAGCTCCGTGAGATTGCTGAGATGACACAGATATCATATGGAAGTGTATTTACTATCCTTCATGAAAAATTGAGCATGAAAAAGGTTTTTTCCAAGTGGGTGCCGCTACTTTTATAACGCTCGAATTTTATTACTTGTAATTTAGACGTATATAATTAAATATAATAATTATTAAATAAATTAGATATTTTAAGTTAAGTTATAATTAAATAACAAAAAAATTGGATTATACATATCTATGTAAGAGATACATAAAAGATAATAAAAGTATTCGGATGGAGAGGTTAGGCAAGAAAGTTCGGTTTATTGGCATTAGAAAATTAACGTATAAATCGACAAAATTATTAGGAGCGTAAGAAGTTATCGGAAGTATTTGAACGTTGTGACGGCGGCGGCGTTACGTCTTACTTGCCATCGAAAGCAAACGTGCGATTTCGAAATCGTTATCATATTCTACATCTCAGTGCGCACAATATGATACCGTGCCTCATATACGAGGGGTGTTCAAAAAGTACAGGGTTGGCCATATTCGACGGAAAGATGTGGCAACACTGTAACTTTTGACAGAGATGTTAGATCGAGTAACGACGTAGCGCGTTTGAAGCGTCAGTCGAAGGAAATTTGTGCCATGGAACAGTACACGCCACGCGAACGCTCTCAGATTGTTGAAATTTACATTCAACAAAACAAGTCAATTGTTAAAACTCAACGTGCATGGAGAAAAATAAATAAAGTGAAAAGTGCGCCTTCCGCGAACACATTGTATCGTTTGTATGAAAGATTTTCAACTGGTGAGGCACTCACTAATCCCAAGCGTCCAAATAAAGTGCGACCAAGGCGATCGGATGATATTATCGCACTCGTACAGGCCAGTGTTCAGAGGTCTCCAACAACATCTCAAACACGTCGATCTGAGCAGTTGGGCATAAAACGAACCACTTTACGTCGCATATTGCATCATGATTTGCATTTGTTCCCATACAAAGTTCAAGTGACGCAAAAACTGTTACCTATCGATAAGCCAAATATATATAGGTGAATCAGAGTCACATTGAACCAGCTTTTTACCTTATGAGAAAATAATTGACTGCATACTTCAATTAGATATAAAGTCAATAATTTTCTCATAGGGTAAAAAGTTGATTTAACGACTCTGATTCACCCTGTGTGTATAAATATATTTTATTTTCAAATGTTATGATATCATATATTTTTATTGCAGAAACATAGATGGAGAAGTTGCAAGTAAAATAAAACAAGAAAAAGACAGGTAATAGACAGATAATATTTTCTATTTTTAATAAGAAATTTAATGTAACAAAATTGTATATTTTCAGCAATATGGAATCTGAAGAATCTGAAGAAACACGGCAGTTAAATTACATGGATCTGGAGAAATGCATGGAAATCAAAGTAGAAACAAATGAGTATGTTATATTGAAATACTTCATATTTAAGTAATTTTTTTCTATATATATATATATATGTAGAGTTTATCTTGTAATGTTATATTAAATTTTATATTTTTAGCGATGTGGTATTTGCAGAACCACTACCAATTATTAATAACATGAATGGTGAGATAATTAAACCGTAAGTGTTAATTTATTATAAATTACATTAAATCGAATGTAGATTTTTATTATTATATTTATGTAGACTAATATTAATTTTCATTAAAATTTTATTTATTTAACCCTATAAGGCCCAGTGTACATAATTAAGTACATTCACTTTGAACTTTTCCCAAACACTATTTATATTGACACAGTAGTGACTTTGTATAATATTCTTAATTCATTACTAGTTGCAATTAGAATTGCTGTTCCAACTTAAAAAATAACACTATTCTCACTAAATAAGCCACTATGATTGTTTGCAGAGCAAATTCACTGACACTTGATTTTGTATGATATGTTATTCATATTTTGTATATGTATATATTATTGAAAATATCTAAACGATTAAGTGGTTTCTTATTTTTTACCTTCTTAAAGTACAAGATTGATTTATCATGTTTATTATTAATTTAAATATTTAATTATAATTCTGTAGCTGGAATGTATATATAAATGTGAATGTATGATTATGTACCTTTAAAAGAATAATTTTATTTGATTGATACAAAATTCTTTATCAAGAATATTTGTAATGATTATATTGTAAAAATAAATTTTACTCGAACAGAATTGGTGTCTGGGCCTTAAAAAGTTAAAGAAACTATCGATGTTTTTATATAAAATAAAGTTTGTAGAATATGCAACATATTGCACACTAACGTACATTAACATAATATATTTTAATTCTTCATATAATCTTGTATTTTATTTAGTAATCTTTTACTATTTGTTTTTATTAGAATAATAAATTTTCTCAATATCTAATATGAATTTAAACTTGTTACAGAAGTACATCCAAACATACAAAACAGGACATGAAATCGTCGAAGGATAGCCCAAGGAAAATGAAGTTGCGTTTAAAGATAGCAAAATTGAAGACACAAAACAAAACGCTCCGCGAAATCCGACAGTCGAAGGCAAAGAAGAAAAATATACGAGACTAAAGAGCCAAAGAGACTAACGAAACTTTAAAAAAATTAGGCCGTAAGTTACTACCACAAAGTTTTAATAAAATATTAGCGGCACACACGAATTGATGCACAATACAAAAACAAACGTGGCAGAAGATATGATCGTGATTTAAAAAAATTCGCTTTGTTATTGTATTTCTTAAGTCCAAGAAATTATAAGGAAAAAAACAATTGCATTGCTTTCAGTATCTTCTCTACAATTATTTACACAAAAGTGGAATATTGTGCCTGGCATAAATGATAAACTTGAAGTATTTAAAATAAAATTGAATACATCATTGTTAATGAAGCGCCATTGCGTATTATGCGCAGATGAAATGAGCTTGAAAAATTTATTTTATGATATTTCGCGGGATGAGATAATTGGTTTTGAAGATTTTGGTAATAGGGAAACATCCATACAAAAAGTGCATTAGTTATAATAACACGTAGCAGTGCAGGAAATCGGAAACTGCCCGTTTGTTTTTGCTTTATAGAAACTGCATATCCCGCTACATTTAAAAAAAAAATTATATTTGACATCATTATACAATTAAAAAACAATGGTGCTTTGGTGCATGTTTTTATTTCTTATATGAGTTCAAATTTTATCCAACTGTCCCATATGTTAAATATTTCGGTAGATAATTCAAATTTTGTAGTTGATGGAAAAAGATTTGTATATATGTTTGACACTACACATTTATTAAAAACAACTCGAAACAACTTATTAAAATATTTCAAATAGATAATAAATTTCACAATTTTCAAATAGATAATAAAATAGTTTCGTGGGGTTATATCGTAGAATTTTATAAAAGAAACAGCAAACGATAGATAAAAATACCTCCTGCATTAACAAAATCTCATATAGAACCAAATAATTTTTTAAGAATGAAAGTTAAATATGCTGTACAAATATTTAGTAATTATGTAGCAGCAGGCACGTGCACACAGATGTTTTCTGGTTTTCTTCCAATTGGAACTATAGACCTCATTGATCACTTTAAATTCATCCAATGTAAATAATCCTAAAAAATATGGAAAAGTTTTTATTGGAAGTGATAAACAAATGCAATTTTTACAAAACATGTTGAATTTTTTAAGATCTATTAAAGTAATTAACGATAACAATAAATATGTAAAACTAAAATGCTTAGATTGCTGGCAGATCACAATTAAGAGTACAATTCAATTTTGGACGACTTTAAAAAACTATAATTGTCCATATCTCCGAACACGTAGATTAAATCAAGACAAGTGTTGAAAATGTTTTTGGCTCTGTTCGGAAACAAGATGGTAATTGCCTTAATCCAACACCTATGCAGTTCAAACGTGCTTTTAAAAAATTATTTAATATGAAATTATTAGAACATTCGGAAACGCAAAATTGTGCAAACTATAACGATGATTTATTAAATATTCTCGGAACATTAAATACTATAGAGACGTTCACAATTTCAGAACTTGTTTGTCAACGAATAAAATTAAAAAATTTCTGTACATGATTATTACTCAATGGATTTACCAGAGGAAAATTTAAATATGTTTGTGGCTTTTTAGTAAAAAAAATGTTTTAAAAGCAATAACATTCTTCATGTGCTGTTCAAAATTTTGTGAATGACAACAAGGCTGTCTTAGATAATACAACGTTACATTGTTCTTTTTGAGCCTACGAAAATAAAAATGGAGATTTATTTGATAATTTAAATATACCGACTCTCTAATAATTTTTTTTGCTAAATTCACAAATTAGAAGAAATATTTGTCAAAAATTTTGAAAAAAAATTGTTATGAAAAAAATATTGGTAATTATCTGTTCTAATTGACACAAAATATAGTTTTTGAAGCATGTCCAGATTTCCCAAAAGATTTCTTAATAAAATTGTTTCTCCGGATACGTATTTATTACATATTATCACAACATAATAAGTCATGTAAAACGATTACTCAAAAGAATAAAAAACTTTAATATTTTACATTTATAATTTGTTCTTAATTTGATTGTTTTCTATCTACAGCCTTGTTTTTATAACATACATAATTTATGATTTATAAGTCCATTATAATTATTTTATTGCATTTTTTACAAGTTTCATTGGTTTTCTTCTTCTTTGGTTCATATCGAGCTGGATCGAATAGCTGAGATATGATTCAAGAAGAGTTGGACAATGAAATGTCTTTCATGGAATGAACTGTTACTGTGTACGTTACTGTGTTTTACATCTTTGCTTAACTCCATTTCTTATGTATGTTTATTAATTGCATGCTTTGTTTACTTTCAAAGTGCATTATATAATTACATTATATATTTACTAATTGAACGTTTTATTACATGCATGCGTTATAAATATGTTTTATTTACTTCCAAATTGCATCATATTATAATTTATAAATTGTAACACTTTCAAATAAAATATTTCTTCAATTGCATATACCTATTATTTTTATTATGCATTATTTATTGTTTGTGTGCAATAATGTAATGTTGTTACGTACATATTATTTTAATTTTACATGAATGTTTTATATTTTATTATATTTAATTTTATATGCATATGTTGTAAATTGTTTGCTTGTGTTAATATTGTGTTTGCCAGATGTTTAATTAATTTATCTATTTATTGAAGTTTTTATATGTTACAAGGATGAAGAACAAGGACAACAAATCAACAATTTCGCTTCAATGACGCTTGTGGCTGTTACATGCACCATAAATTTCATACATTTACGTATTAATCATGAAATGAAAAAAATAAAATAAATAAATGGAAATGTACAAAAAAATGAAATATCTCTTGATTTTGTTCGTTAATAAAACATTCTCTTTTAATATTTTAACATGCAGTGCTTTGTATTGTATATATACTATATGTTTTAACATAATTATTAAAATTTATATATATATATTTTAATATATATTGTATTAATAAATATATATCTTTTTTCTATATAAAATATATTAAATTTTCTTTTATATCAACTTATAACATTTTTATAGCATATATTTATAATTATGTAATATTTGAATATTTCTTTATATAAATATATGTTTTAAAGGTAATTTAATATTTTTACTAATTTTTATTAAGTTCAGATTATTTCATTATAATAGTAGGTTTATTTACGTTGCATACTCTAATACGCTCCTATAATAGCTCTCACTCACTCCAATGCATTTGTTGGAGTGCGATGTGAATACCCCTCGTAAGTTATTTGAATACAATTATAGTCAATAATTATTTAAATAATTAAATATATTGAACAACTTTCATTTAAAATAATAATTAAACAAAAGTGGAAACTTGATGTCTGCATGAATGACTGAAAAATTATAAAAATGAAATAGGTAGTAAATTTGGATGAGATAAGATAGACGAGGGTCGCGTTTCTCGAGGTTGAAAATCTTAGAAAATAAATCCGAAGTAACAGGAACGCAAGATAGCGAGGAGGTAGGCGAAGAATCGGATTTGTCGGCGTCTCGAAAATCTCGGAAAATAAATCCGGAGTAACAGGAGCGCACGTTAACAAAGAGGTAAGGTAACTTCCAACAACCTCCTCACTTATCCTGCTTTGCTAATACTTCAGGCGATTTTTCTGAGATTTTCAACGTCAAGAAGCATGATTCTTGTCTACCTTATCATCCAAATTTATCAACTTACAGTACTTGTATCATTTTTTTACCTTTACACAGATATGTCAACTTCCTGTTTTTGTTTAATTATTAATTAGTAAGTAAAAGATACTCAATTATTTAGTTATTAACATAGTTTTTAATTAGATTTGTTCAAATACTTAACATTCCACACAATCGTGAGGAGACAATAATATAGTTTAATACGAAAATCAAATATTCCATTGTTTAATTATTAATCATTACATAATTCAGGAAAAATATTAATTTATATACATATAATTATACATACAGTTATGTATGAAAAATTTTTCACTGGAGATAAGAAATATACATATATAAATATAATCAATCATTCAATTTTTTGTTTATATACAATAATAATTTTGTAGCGTTTTTCACACCTAACTTTTTATTTATCTTTTATTTTATATATATATATATATATATATATTTATTTATTTATTTATTTATTTATCTAGCGCGAGACCTTTTTAATATTGCTGAAATGATAACTGTTGAAGATATGTCACAATTATACATCCATTAAAATTCATGGTTCGTGGATCATCGAAGTAAGTTTCCGTACGATTGCAGAGGTCAAGCAACGCTAAATGGGATGCAGGATGGATGACCATTTATGGGAGCGCCACGAAATTAATTTCTGAATTCAAAGGAAAACATTTTTTTAAATCTTAATTTTGTCGTATTTTGTATTTTTGAAATATAATGCTAATTAATACTGATTTTAGCAATAAAATTTAGCAATTGGATTAATCAGTTTTATAGCTTTCAATTTTCTCATCAGTGTATAGATATAATTTATATATACAATTGTATATACGAGCTCGTATACAAATCGCACAATATATACTGTAAATTATTATATAATGTGTCAGTATGTTCAGATGTAAAACTTACATCATTAATTTCCGAAATATTAAAACTTATAATATCAACTTATTATCTTGACCAACTATTTGCCTTGATTAGATTAAATAACTTATATAACTTTGTTTAACATTGGCAAATAAGAATGTAATGATACTGTGTTACACTGTATCTTTTATTAGAAAGCAAAATTCTTCGAACTTGCTTTCCTTTTAGGAGACATGGTATGTATTCGACAACTCTCTCCTATATACCCTAACATTTATCATTATATCAACATATAATATAATTATATTGTATATAAAAAGTTTTTTTCAGATGAACAATGTTCTAAGCTCTTTTTCAAACATAATTTTAGAGTATATCTCTGGAATATATATTTTTAAGAATAAAATAGTATATAATATTTATTTTTATTTTATATAGTACAATTTATACAAAAATAATCAATTTGAATATTCTGAATTAAAATAAACATTGATGATGAATTTGATATTTAGGTAATATTATTTCTGATTCAAGAAGTTATCATAGAATTATAAAAAAGCCCGATAACAAAAATCCGTGATTGAAATCTTATTTTTTATATATGTATGTTTGAAATAATAATTTTAAATTGTTTAAAGAAGAAATTTCACATGCCTGTTCTCTTTGTTGATATCATTAATTTTTTTTCGGCATCTGAGTGATTGGAAAAATATTTATTTTGCAGTTTGTTTTTACAAACGACATTATAATAAATTGACAGTGGACTGTTACAGAGATGCCAGATAAAAGACGCGACAGCTTTAAACTGATCAAAGATAGGTGAAGGGGATATGCATGCAATGAAGAGGTATGTGCTCAGAGCAGCCTATATATGTCCATTTGATTTGTAATTTGTTTACCTATTTTTTAGAATTAAAAAAATTTAGTAAATTTGTCGCAAAAACTGATCGCGAAAAAACAAAAAATGCAAGTATATATTTACATGTAATTCATGCGATATAGAGGAAAGTCCTCTCTTATGAGATACTGAGTTCATTTCGGATAAATGCTAGGAGTCTATGGGCAGAATTAAAATAAATAATAGGTCATTTTGAACGGAATTTAATAAGCTTTAAGATAATGTTATATAAAATTTAATTCAAATTTCATTTTTTTTTTAAATTAAAGAAATGTAAAAAGTAAACAAATCGCAAAGTTAAAATTTGTGCTCCTAATATGAGATGCTCTGAGAAATCGATAGTAAAACACAAAGTATATTGGTATTGCAACTAAAAAACTTTTATTTAATGTTTCTTAAATACAAATAAACACAGTGGTGCGCGAAAATGAGTATGCGACACATTATTCCTAGAACTCGTCTTCAAATAGTTGAAATCAAGCATCGCAGAAATAGGCACTCGACGTTCATTCCAGCTTTCCTTTTTATTATTGTACAATAACATTTATACTTTAGCAATGATTTTCATTATGACATGGGAGCATGGATTATTTTATATTAGAAATACCCTGAACATCTCATATTACGATTTCCATATGCTTTATGGTTTTGCAATCATCAAATCTACTAATAACTTCTGTAATTAAGCAATTCAACATATTTTTCTATTAGTACGACCTTACTCTATCACTACATGAAGAATTTATTGCCAAATATTTATTCTCATTAAATAATAAACAATATTTAAAAACTTATCTCAATGAAACTTGAAGATATTCAAATTCTAAAATCTTTTTTTACGATAACTACAAACATGATCTAATAATGAATTTTTTATTAAACAGTTTTCAATCCAAGAGCAATAAATTCATAGTGGAACCAATAGGTAGCGTCTATTAGTTTAGCAGAAACGCCGCTATCTCATATTAGGCACCTATCTCATAATAGGAGGCTTTCCTCCATATTTAAAATGTATTAAGCAAGATACAAAATAAATGACATAAGAACAGAAAAAAAAACTCTGCCAGATTCGTACAATGATATAATTGCATAATTAAAGATAAGTTGAACGTTATTACCATTAAGAACAAATATCCGTTCCCGTTGGACCAACTTGATAAACTCGGTGGGCACATTATTTTACGGGATTAGATTTAACATCGAGTGATTATCAGGTGCCAATGGAGCCTGGTTTTATTGAAAAGATTAATAAATAAACGACAGTGAATCAACGCTATTAATATTCTCACGAATTGAAGACTATGGCCGTAGTAATGGCTTTATTTCATTTTAAGGTGAACTTATTAGGAATCTATTTAAAATCATAACCGACTGCAATGTGCGTCTTATGGTCTGCTTTCACTAAGCGCAATTTGTTATCCCGAATTTGATGATTAGAAACTCAAGAGTATACACGAAAAAAAAAGATTAGTTGCAGCAGCAAAAATTCGCGTTGTGATAACTAAATTCCAGTCGTAATATTATATATGGATACCTAACGTCGTATTTGTGACATCTAATTTTCATTAGCTGTGAGGCTTAAATATTATCATTGTAATAGATAAGCATTTTATTGCTATTATGTCGATCTATTGATCATTGCAGCAAACGTTTTCTGTGTAGCAGACAATTTGGTAGCAAGTAGTTTCAGCAAATCATATTTAGCTGTAGTAGAGACAATTTTCTTTTACACTAACATATCCAATAACTACGACAACTAATTTCATGCTGCTAAATAAATTGATCTGTAACATACATGTATACTTTGCTATCACGTCCTTATATTAGCTACAGCAGCAAATCCTATGTACTAGCAAATTTCATAGCAATAGTAGCTAATGCAATTTTAGCTAATCAGAATTAGCTGTAGTCAGCAACATTTTTTTTCCGTGCACATTTGATATCGGATACTGAGCGAGACACAGGATGGTACATGTGGATGTCCCTAATCGCAATTCTGTACTAGTAAAGTTAGAAATAGCCCACGTACATAGACATTACTAAAGTTGACTGAGTAAAGGTCGCCCAGCTACATGACGAAAAATTGATTAGTATCCGAATAATCACGTAAGGAGGAACAGATGAAACTAAACATTATTTCGATGAGTATATGTTGCAGAATAGCAAGGTATATCAACGTCTAGACGATCGTCGCTATAGTGCTATGGTGTATATGGTAAGGACCTTTCCGAATGCGGAAGGCTCTCATTAATACCGATACGAGATTGAAGACCTTCGAGGAAGATAAACGCAATCGGACGGTCGTAGCCGCCGACAACATAAAGTTGTGAATTACGTTTCAGAAAGAATAGTCGTCGGTGATGTATTGCG